GAGTAAACTTCAGATTTTGCCTCTGATCTCTCTCATTGTCTCTTTCAAATCTACGAGTTACTTGGGTTAGTCTCTCTTCATCTTCTTCCTCAATTTGGTGGAGAGAATATACAATTCTTCTTATATATGGTTAGATTGATTACCAGTGGATAATAATGTATTATGTCGGTCGGTCGATTCGGTTTTGTCTAAATAGATTTTGCTTTTGTTTCAATTTCACACACCAGATCTGTTATCCAAGCTTCAGTTTTTTTTTTGTTTTGTATTAGATTCTTGGTAATAAGATTTCGGATCAACTATGTTTGTGAATTGAGTGCTACTTATTTCCTCTAGTTTCAGATTCTCTGTTTATGATAATTTGCTTACCCATGCTTGTTCTGAGTTTCTGTAAGTTAATCATGTGTCTTGTATTTACTTTCTATGGTCTTAGATCTCATTGCTTCTATTCTTACAGATAATGACTCAATTGTCTTTTTTTGTTACATGGAACAGATTCAAATTCTCTGTAGCTGGTGGAAGAATCGTTAATTTTGTATACTACAGAGCTAGTAGGCAATGAAGGGAAGAGCAGATGGAGGGCAAAAGAAACGGGTGATTGCTTTGGTTTGCATCGCCGCGGTCGTCCTTGTTTTCGTATATCTGTTCTATGGCTCCTCTGATAATAGAGCATCAGCTATTGAATATGGGAGAAAACTAGGGTTGGGTGGGGATGAAGATGGGAACAAACAGGATGATACTTCTAGCTCGTTTGGTCTTGATGATGGTTTCACGCCGAGAAGTTTTCCTGTGAGTCTCGAGCATTTTCTCTCATTTCCTTCCCTTCTTTTCTGTATTGATGGTTAGATTCAAATGGTAAATGTTGTTGTGTTTTTTCCAAGGTTTGCGATGATCGGCATTCAGAGCTTATTCCTTGCTTAGACAGGAATCTCATATATCAAATGAGACTGAAGCTGGATTTGTCTTTGATGGAGCACTATGAACGCCATTGTCCTCCTTCTGAAAGACGGTTCAATTGCTTGATTCCTCCTCCTAATGGATATAAGGTCGGTATATTCTCTCCACTTCTATTGACATGATAAGTGTCTTGACATAATTGTCTGAATATGTTTTCTCTTTGAATATGTTGTAGATTCCAATTAAATGGCCGAAAAGCAGAGACGAAGTGTGGAAAGTGAACATACCTCATACTCACCTTGCACATGAGAAGTCTGACCAAAACTGGATGGTTGTTAAAGGAGACAAAATCAATTTCCCAGGTGGAGGCACACATTTTCACTACGGGGCTGATAAGTATATTGCATCGATGGCAAATGTAAGGCAGTTACTTGGTTTATGTACAACAGAGACCATATTTTATTCCTTTGTTCGCTGATTGTATTCTCGGAAATTTCAGATGCTTAACTATCCGAACAATATTTTGAATAATGGAGGAAGGTTAAGGACAGTTTTTGATGTTGGTTGTGGTGTTGCGAGCTTTGGAGGTTATCTTCTATCATCGGATATTTTAACAATGTCTTTGGCTCCAAACGATGTGCATCAGAACCAAATCCAATTTGCTCTTGAGAGAGGGATTCCTGCCTCCCTCGGTGTTTTAGGGACAAAGAGGCTCCTGTACCCAAGCAGATCTTTTGAACTTGCTCATTGTTCACGTTGCAGAATCGATTGGCTTCAAAGGGACGGGATTCTTCTTCTTGAGCTAGACAGAGTACTCAGACCTGGTGGTTACTTTGCATATTCATCTCCAGAGGCATATGCTCAAGATGAAGAGGACCTCAGAATCTGGAGAGAAATGAGTGCTCTTGTGGAGCGTATGTGTTGGAAGATAGCTGCAAAAAGGAACCAAACTGTTATTTGGGAGAAACCTTTGACAAATGATTGTTATTTGGAAAGAGAACCCGGAACTCAGCCTCCTCTTTGCCGTTCTGATAATGACCCTGACGCTGTATGGGGCGTAAACATGGAAGCTTGTATTACTCCTTACACTGACCGTAAGTTTTCAAGCTCACCTCGCTTTTCAATAAAAGAGTACATATTCTTTGAAATTAAGTTTATGATAGTAAAACTGAAGTAAGATTGCCACTGAACTCGTTTTTGGGGTTTTTCTTAGATGACCACAAAACCAAGGGAAGTGGATTAGCTCCATGGCCAGCTCGGTTAACCTCTCCTCCTCCTAGGCTTGCTGATTTTGGCTATTCAAATGGCATGTTTGAGAAAGACACGGTATATAGAAACCCAAAACTTCTCTGTTTATCGAACTGACAAACTAAGAACATGAGCTCTTCAGTCACATCATATGTTTTGTATTCGTACAGGAACTTTGGAGGCAGAGAGTGGATAGTTATTGGGATCTCTTGAGTTCTAGAATCGAATCAGATACAGTGAGGAACATAATGGACATGAAAGCAAGCATGGGCTCCTTTGCTGCTGCTTTGAAAGATAAAGATGTATGGGTAATGAATGTTGTTCCCGAGGACGGACCTAACACGCTTAAACTGATATATGATAGAGGTTTAATGGGCGCCGTTCATAGCTGGTCAGTTTCTACATTGCTTGTACGCCGGATTGGTAATCTTTAGCATATTTGTTGTTTTGATCATTTGGTTTTATTGTACGACAGGTGTGAAGCATTCTCTACATATCCAAGGACCTATGATCTTCTCCATGCTTGGGACATTATATCATATATCAATAAAAAAGGGTGTAGTGAAGTTGATTTGTTACTAGAGATGGATCGAATACTGCGCCCGAGCGGGTTTATAATCATAAGGGATAAACAGAGAGTGGTGGATTTGGTGAAGAAGTATCTAAAGGCATTGCATTGGGAGGAAGTAGGGACTAAGATAGATTCAGATTCAGATCAAGATTCAGACTATGTTGTATTCATTGTCCAGAAGAAGTTGTGGTTGACTAGTGAAAGCCTTAGAGATATGGAGTGACAAAGCCACACGATACACATGCACACTATGAAAATTTCAATATTGTAACGTTTTTTTTTTTTTTTAGAAACTCATTATTGTAACGTTGCTTTCTTAAAATTTATTTATCTATTGTTCTCAATTTACATTCTTATAAGTTGTTTGTATGATTTAGAGAGAAACTCGGATAAGTAAAAATCGATAAAAAGAACACTGCAAAATTCTTTGAATATTATGTTATGGTCAAGACTTGAAGAAAATTCTTTGAATGTGATATGTGTGGCATGTTAGTAAAATATTTTTGCTATTAAATTTTTATTTATTTATATACGAGAGAGTTTTTGGACTTTTTATTGTTCTTAAATATTTTATCATTATAAATATCCGAACTTCAGAAGTATATTTTTACCAATTAATTAAAAGTTACATTTCCCTGAAAAATCATGAAGTACATTTGAAGAAAAAATAATCTATAATAGAGATAATGTGGATAGTAATACTATATAATTTGCATCATAAGAATAAATTAATTAAACTACACATATACAATGTGGATAGTAATACTATATAACTAGGTGACTTCCCGTACCTTGTGCAGATTCAAATGTATTTGGTGAGAATAAAAATTATAATTTACTATTGTAAATTTGTAATATTGACCTTTTTCAAAAAAAATTT